TGCGCGCTTCGGATGAGCGCACGCACAAATCTTCTCACTGCGCGCGCGAGCTCGCATCCTCTGGCTCTTAAATGGTTAAACTGGCAAAGTTTAAACGAGTTTAGTTTAAACAGATATCAACGTGTGTTGCTCAGGTCTCACCTGTGCGCGCGCGCCTCAGCACCCAGGTGATGAGTGTGTGGAGAACCGTACGGTTCGATTTTTTTCCGCGAACCGTTCCATCCCTAATTTTTATATATATATACGCAATTAAATTAATCAAATGCCTGTGTCAATATAACTGTTTCTATCATAACATGCATAAGACTTTTGTATCTTTTAATTTCTACTATAAATTCATATCTATAGATGTTTAAAAGACAATAAGCAGTAAATTAAATTCTGCAAAAACAATAAATCTCGCTGTGCACTGTGCAGTTGTTACATTTTATATAATATAGCTTTTTTACAAGTTAGCTGACCCTTAAAATGTGTTTTAACTAATTTAAATAATGTTTTGACAATGCATGCATTTGCCATAAATATAAAATAGAAATATATTAATTGCAGATGCATTTGTGTTCTTTTGGTCACCTGTGTGTTGGTGTCCTGACTGCTGCCGTCTGAGTATGTGGATCGAGAGGACGTCCCGTTCACGTGTGGACTGGAGGAGCCGTTAGTTATGGACTCGTCAAAATCTGTTTTAATAAGAAGAACAAATGCTCAGATCGCTCTTCATTTACTGAGATCAAGAACAGAGAACATTGTGGCTGATGTTGAATGGAAAAACAGCCAGAAACATACATGTGCATTGTAGGTTTATCAGTATATTGTGCATGAAGACCCTATTCATAGAGAGATGTGCCGTGATGCCAACTTCCTTGAGAAGACCATTGCTACAGCCGGAAACCTTAAGCTGGCTCTTGAGAAAGAAAGCTGAGCTGTGGGATAAAAGCAGCATGCATCTGTGGCCTGATCAACCTAAACTGGGCTCAAAGACCTGACGCAGAAGATTTACTCTTCCAGCATGAAATGCATTAAAATTATACAAAGAAAATGGTGAATAAAAAGCACGCGGACTGGGCTGGAATGACCTTCCAGTGAGCCAAATCAGGATCCTGCCAAGTACCAGCTATCTAAGAGATGTCAATAGCCTGTTCAAGGTGTTTAATCTGAGCCACATGTCAGGAGCTGCTAGACTGCTGGGTAACAGACGGGGACGAGACTCAGAGAACATGGATTTACTGTACCAGAATGGCCTCCAGCCCAGGCTTTTGATGCTTTTGTTCAGAGTTTCACAACTCTATATAGAGCCTTGAGAGGAAGCCAAACATCTGTCTGTTTCTAAACCTCAAAAGCACCAGAAAAATGTCAAACTCCCCCTCAAATCCCAGGAAGAGGAAATCAAGACTGCACATACAAACTGATTGTTATATTTTTCCCTTTGAGATCACAGCTCATGAACTGTGATTTCTGGGTGAACTCTCACTCTCCTCAGTGAAGTCTTTAACTCTACCTTTGACATGGATGCTGGTGGGAGTGATGGCCATCTTTTTGAAATGCTCATCTGTATCCGGATCCACCACTAGCAACCGCGTCTCATTCCCGCCGTTCTTGATGAAGGCCACAACTTCAGCATGTCTCATGCTTTCAATGTTCACGCCATTCACCTGCACAGACAGAGTTTTAATACAGCAAAAGTTATGACTTTAAAACTAAAGCGCACATAAAAAACAACAACAAAAATATTATACTGACCTGATTTGAGTATGATGTATATATAAATGTATATAATATATATATATATATATATACATATAAATACACATACATCATTTACATTTAAATTATTGACATGCACTGTATAACTGTTTTTTTTTATAATAACCGTATTCATATTTTAGATATATTGGACATGCTACAATGGTAGCAGACAATACCATGGTATTAGTTTCATTGTAGTATCCAAAAAACATGACTCTTGTGAGTGATGATTCTTATGAGTTTATAGACAAATAATTTAAATGGTACTGTAAAGCACTTCATCCTGGTTGAAAAAAAGCCTAGTATTACCATTTGCCATGGTTTATTTTTGTTTTTCATAAACATTTAAAGAGTAGAGTTACAGTGATGAACTATAAAAACATTTAATCAGTAGATTATTCTGAGGTGAATCTTTACTTCTGCATCAGTGACTTTAATCATATGTAAAAGCTTTATTTATTCCCTGATAAACCTGTTCATTCAGTTTGTCTTATAGTGCCCACTGTTGGTTGCTTAGCAACATGTTTTGTGGTTGAATTAGGTTCCCAACAAGCCGAACAGAGGAGAGACGGTGAGAAAGACTTTTTACCGAAATTACAACCAAATCAATCAAAACAAAAACAAGGGCACGAGAGCCACCCGCGCTCCCCTTCTGCTGAAGGTGATTTAATCTGAGTGTTTGTCCCGAGGACAGATGGAGCGTGTGCTGTATTCAGCCGAACACCATCAAATATTAACGTGTGTTGCTGTGGCCGCAGCGGCAGCCGGGTGGGTTTCAGGTATCAGTGTCCTGAGCTGTGTTTCTGAAAACTGAAGGGGGCAGGACTCTCACTCTTATACTGAGGGTGGAAACAACTGAGAGATGGAGAGAAATGGGGGAGAAAGTTAGTCTGAACTAGTCAATCACACAAAACTGGTCAAGAACATGCTGTCCGAGCCGTATTTCACCTCATAAACAAATCAAAGAAATAAGAAATGATATTTTGCTTAAAGAAAATAAAGACTTTTTTTTAGGACCATTAAGATATTTTTGCATTGTGACGATGTTTGCATGAAAATTGGGCAGATTTTGATGTCAAAGTCTTGCTTTATTTTTTCGTAATTCCCATTATTCTAATTGATGACTGTTATTAGATGCTCATTACTGCAATACAGTATTCAAATCAAAAGGGTAAACAACACTTATTAAAATAAATACATATTTTTCCCCCCAAAAAAAGCTGCCTTTTAATTACACTGATTTTAATAGAAAGTCTTACATAATGCAACTAGAAAACATGTAAAAAATAAATAAAAATAAATGCTGATATAAATATATTAATATTAAATAATAGGAATATAGAAATTACTAAAAAAATTATAAATAAATTAGGCTTTATGCTGATTTTAATAAAGTCTTACATAACAGAACTAATATTTTTGAAGTTCTTTATATATATATATATAAAATTTATAAATTATGCTGATTTTAAATTTTTAATTACATTTTTTACATTTATTTTAAACATTTATTTAAAGTTACAATATAAACGAAGAGTAATAAATTTACTAAATCTTGAATATATTTTTTACATTAATATGCTCATGTCATGTAAATATTGTCACAATATAAAAAAAAACACTTAAATATAGGCTGAATTATCTCGAAGCATTTTTTCCCTTTCTTGTGATTTTGTTGAAACTCATAGTACATCAGGGTTTCATAACATTCACCCATTAATTTTATTGCAATGACTACTGAAATGTCTGTAAAACAGTGCTAAGCGTACTTTTTCTTCTTTCCACCAGCATATATAGTTTTTCCCGAAGTACAAACTTGCACATTTTATAATGGTTCGTCATGTGCACATTGCATTGATTAGATTTGGGTTAATGTGTTAAATCCGCACTCAATCCAACTAAGCCACACAAGTTCATGAGTTAATGGAGGTTATGAGAACATTGCATTTATTTCTGATAATGAAGGATGTATTCAGCTCTGCTGATCGCAAATGTAAGCTTCAACAGTATGTTATTTTGCTCGACTCAGAAATATTTAGTGCGAGTCATCATACAGTATCACACGCCGCCCACATGCATCTGAGTGTGATGGATGGTCTGTGTGTGAGTGTGAATGCACAAGTGAATTTAGAAAGTGTGGGTGTATATCTGTATACTGATGCACATGCGTGTGATAGCATGATAGAAATATGATAGAGAACTGTTCTAAAGAAAGAGAGAATGATTCCTGCCTCACCTCTATGAGTCTGTCCTGTGGTTTGAGTCCAGCGCGGTCAGCGGGTGAGCCGGGGTCCAGAGCCCGTATGTACTGACCCGGTCTGGACCTCTCGCTGTGGAGATTAAAGCCGTAACCCATCTCGGACCGCACCAGGAGACACAGCCTCGGCAGAAGCTCAGATGGATCCCGTGTCGAGGACACCGACGAGGGCTGAGCCTCCTGTGACAGGAGAAGTCAAGACACTCAGATACAAATAAACCTAATGCTAAATCTTAGGTTGGAAAACCAAAAACTTGTCTTTTATAGTAGTTCAGTTTTACAGAAGTTTTAAATAGTTGCAAATCTTGAAATATGTTAAACAGATTCAGCCAATGTCTTTCCATCCATAATTTCCAAGACAGAGAGAGGTTACTATAGATTTCTTGAAGGTTTATCTGCCAATAAGGTCAGACAAATACACTTAATTTAAAGGGGAAACAAGTTTTCATACCCCAATGACAGATATTTGTTCTTGTTTTAAGCATAAACTCAATTTTGTTCCATTTCTCAGAAAAACAAGACTTTTTAAAAAAAAAATTTATTTTGCATCTCTAAGGAAGATATTCATTTTTTGCAATGTATGCAATAATATTGCTGTGACTTTATGAATTTAAGACTTTGTACCCTTTGATTTAAGACCTTTAATGTATATATATATATATATATATACAGTATATATATAGTGATACATTGACCAATTGACCAGTATTTGATTGGATGATTAACAGATGTGTTAATTGCACCTAGAATCATTTTGAATAATGAATCAAAGTTACTGAACGAATTTTGGGGATTTGGAAAAATAAGTGTTCATTAAAAAAAAAAAAAACTATTTTGGGTACATTTTATTTATTACAAATGATTGTGGTGTTCATTTTGAGTAAGGATCATCTGCTAAATGAATAATTGTAAATGTAACTAAATGTTGTTTGCATATAATTGCTGTTATACCAGCCATCAACCATACTGGTTATCAGTCCACTGCTTAAAGGGGTCCTATTATGCTCTTTTACAAAGTCTTTAGCTGGGCCAGTGTGTGTTGTGATTGGTTAGCTGGGCCAGTGTGTGTTGTGATTGGCAGCACTCGGCGCCTGGTCGGGAAATGTCACGCCCCTCACTGTGAGTTTCAGTGTAAATATTGCGTCAAAAATAAAATAAAATCCATTTGAGCACGATTTAAACCCGGATGATTGTAACCACTCTAAGTTCGTCTGCCTTGGGAAACCTAGCGTGTCTCCGACATAGTGATAACACTCGTTGCCTTCTCTAGTGCAGCTCAACCAGGTCTCGTCCCATTCGTCGATCTTTGTGATATCACAAATCCCGGAAAATATGCGTTGTAGTCCAAACGAGTCATTCGTTGTAGTTTTTGAAAAGTGATTTCTGTTAAATAAAATATCTCCTTTTGAAGTGGACTTTGAGCTTTGAGCTTTGTAACTTTGCAGATCTTTTTTTATGCTCAAACAACAACATTACAGACTAACTAAAGTTGAAAAAGTGAAAAAGCATAATAGCACCCCTTTAAACAGCACAGAAATCGTAACCATAAACTCAAAATTAAAAGCATTTCTGTGTTATATTGTTGAAAACATAATGACAGGGTTACTTTCACAATGAATTCCACCATTGTGATTTGAGTGCATGAGTTTTCCTCAAAAATATTGTGTAATGGAAGCTTACAAACGACCAACCAATAACATGATCCCAGTCAGGAAATCTGCCTTTCATCCAAGACCGAGAGTGGAAAACTGAAAGCGAGGCCAGCAGAAGAACGGAAAGATGCTGAATGTATGAATAACAGCACGTGAAGCATTATCAGCCTGCCAGAGGAGAAACTCTCAAACCGGAGCAAAAATAGCCATCACGTCACCATAGAAACCACAATAAAGTGTCATAATGAACGTCAAAATCAATTTATACAGGTTACAATATGACATATTCCTACATATCTGGTGGCGTGTGCTCATGCATCACAATTACCAGTGCTCATATTTATTTATTTATTTTATAAATTACTACCTTTCTGCTCATAACTCCAAATAACTATGGAAACAAACACCCTAAAACCGTGGTGGAGAGTTTTGAACAGGTAAGTGCTCATAAATGCATCATTAATGGTTGTAAAAGTCACAATGAAACAGGCCATTGCAGAGGAATCCAGGATGACTTTCTGTCAAATGTAAATCCTTCTTTTAGTTTTTATAGGAGGTTAAAATTCATACAGCAGCTGAAAGTCAGCATCTGACCAAATCGAATGGAAATGTCCTGCATGTATCCAGAGCAGAGACGTTTGCGCTATGTAATAAACAAAAAGGAAGGCAGCAGAACATAATCACTCTTGTGAAAACAAAAAGTGAAAACATAATTAAAAACCAAGAAGCATTCATTATGCAAAGAGGTTTTTTATTTGTAAGAGGGAGTAATTACAGCAAAGGTCAAAGGTCAAGGTCCATTAGGCGAGTCTATTAAGAGAGACGGCAAAAACACAAACAATATGTGTGTGTATACATAATATTATAACTATTAGAATATATTATTACACATTTTAAGGGTTAGTTAATTAAAAAAAAACTCCTTAAGATAACAACATGTTTCATTCACATTTCACATATTACAGTGTATAGTGATTTTTTTTTTTTTTAATATATATATATATATATTTTTTTTAAGACAATAAGAAGATCGTTTTGGATAAAAGCATCTGCTAAATGATTAAAAGTAAATGTTCAATTTAAGATACTAAAGCCTTTTGCATTTCGAATGAAACGGTTATAATGGCTCAGGCATGTGATCTATTTCACTACGCTCGAAAATGCTAATTATACTGTTTTGTGCTTCTCAAAAACAAAGTTTTAAGAGCTCAGAGGATCAATTTCCAGACAAATGGCTGATGTTCTCAGTCTCGCTGTCTGTGTTTGTTGTGGTTTGGCCTGTTTGTTGAGATGAGAGTCGTTTGACTGACAGCCGTATGTAAGTTGATCTGACTGGCTGCAGACCCCCAAACACACATTGTTTGAAGGAAGAACAGATTACAGCATTTCCGATACTGATATGTCTGAAAACGGCGCTTATATGTTACTATATCAGAAAAAAACATTCCGGTTTTAGAGTGTGCATTAATTTAGTGATTATATGTGGAAAGCAAAACTAAAATAAATGCTTTTTATCATTTGTATCAGATGAAGTGCCTTGGCTTAAGACTATAATTTTTCTATATTCTGGGAAAATTGAGGGTATTTTCTTGAAGTATGAAGGTTTATAATGGTATATTGTAGATGTATAAATGGCTAAAATTCTTCACTAGTATATGACCCTGTATAAAGCCTGAAATATGGTATAATAATCAGAAAAATCATAAAAAAAAATTGGAAGTTTATTAAACTTTTAGACAATCAATCAATCAGTCAATAAAAGCTGTTTTGAATAACAGCTGTTTTGAGGAAAATAACACCTCAGTTTTATTCAAAGGCCCAAACTGAGCAAAAATTCAGGAGCAGGTGACCCAATAACACACGTCCATCCCACCTCCTCGACACAGCTGACCTCTGATGAACAACTACTGTTAGTGAGAAACCAGAGAGGAGTCTGGGACTGGGAGGAGGAACAAGCATTTCTCTGTTTCCGGCACTTCCACTGTTCTAAATACTTCCATCAGGCTTTATGATTCTGTGCCTCAAATAAACCTCCCTGCTGAACCATCAAGAGTTATAATATTTCCATTGTCACACCCCTCAGCTCTTCCGGTCACCCTGAGTTCCTGGCTTGAACACGGAGATGAGTGGGATAAGTATGGGAAAACACTCGGGAGAGCGGCAGATGCGGCACAAAGCATTCCTGAAACTTCCTGTCACAATAAGACACTGCCTGTGTGTTTCAAAGCATTGGCTTGTAAAATGATACAGAAGCTTCTGAATTATTGACACTGGGACCTCTGGGATTTCTCGCACGTGACTGTCATCAACCCTTTCACCGCTGGAGCATCCAGAGCACAACACAAAGCACAACAGAAATGACACATTCTTTAAACATGTATTTTGAAGCTACTGTGTTTACTTAAAAGTCTACTGAATCAAAAGCCTAATGGTTGGGTAGCAAGAACCGGCTTTTATTCTGATTACAGAACGAATGACTCTAACCCTAACCCTAACCCTAACCAAAATCATACAGCGCAACCAGTGATGTCTCTAAACAAGTCATTTTTAGTAAATCAAAAACATATAGTGCAACTAGTGTAGTCCAATTCCTGAACAAATGATTCTAAGGAATTGGTTTGAATGGGCCGGTTCTTTTAGTGAATCAAAACAATTCAGTACAGCACAACCAGTGAAGTCTGATTCTTGAACAAATGACTCTACTGAAAGGGTTCTATTCAGCGAATCAAAAACATTCCGTACAACTTTATTAGTCTGATTCTCAATCAAATGATTCTAATGAGCTGGTTCTTTTTGATGAATCAAAAACATACAGCACAACCAGTGAAGTCTGATTCTTGAACAAACGACTCTACTGAGTCAGTTATTTTAAGTGAATCAAAAACATTCAGTACAACTTTACTAGTCTGATTCTCAATCAAATTATTCTAATGAGCTGGTTCTTTTTAGTGAATCAAAAACATACAATGGAAACGGTGTAGTCTGATTCCAGAATGAATTACTCAAGTCACTTTTTTTTTTGTAAACCAAAAACATATAGTGCAACTAGTGTAGTCCAATTCCTGAACAAATGATTCTAAGGAATTGGTTTGAATGGGCCGGTTCTTTTAGTGAATCAAAACAATTCAGTACAGCACAACCAGTGAAGTCTGATTCTTGAACAAATGAACTGTACTGAAAGGGTTCTATTCAGTGAATCAGAAACATTCAGTACACCTCAAATAGTCCTATTCTCAATCGAATGACTCTAATGATCTGTTTCTTTTTAAAGAATCAAAAAACATACTGTGCAACAAGCGCAGTCTGATTCCTGAACAAATGACTCTAATGGCCTAATTATTTTTAGTGAATTAAAACCACTCAGTACAGCGTAAATACAAACAGTGCAGTCTGATTCTCAATCATATGACTAATGAGCCAGTTATTTTTCATGAATCAAAAATATTCAGTTCTACGAAACTACTACAGTCTGATTTGCAATCAAACGACTCTAATGAGTTGGTTCTTTTTAGAGAATCAAATACATTC